GTTTATTTTGTTGTGTGGGCTTTTTGGGCTTTTTGCTTGGGGTGTGGGCTTAGTTAGAGCTTGTGGATCTTGGCAAGGATTAAAGATGAAGATTGCAGATCGAAATCAAAGCTTGATGAAGATTGCTTGGCTTGCTTGGAGTTGCTTGAAGACTATAGGATATAGGGTATAGATAGAGCCTTAGAATAGAAAATTTTCTTCATAAACATGGATGGTTTCTTTTGCATCCATTCTTCTCAATGATTAAAGGTCTCTCCTTAATACTCACATCCCTCCTTTGGAAGGATTAGTGACTGTATCTGGGAGATAGAACTTTGAGAGAAACAGTCGGTATTATGTTAACTTTCTGTAGGCCACCTTTGGTGTTCCACAAACTGTTTAACATTCAAAATCCTCTTATAATCATTTCTCTGTTGGAGAGTTTGCTTTGAAGAATCCCTTGAAGATTGAAGATGAAGTTCATTGCCTTGAAGACTGTTAGAAGAAGGAGCTGGTGTTGTCAGAGCTGTGCAACTGTTTGAAGTAGGATTTACTGATGCTTAGCTGTTTGATGCTGCCTACTGTTTAGAGTTTCTGCTTGTTGTAGCTTGCTGTTTTTCTTGAAGATTGGATGCTTATTTGAAGCTTGTAGAGGGATGAAGACCTTGCTTGAAGGTTTTGGTGACCTGTTGTTGTTTCTATCAGATTTTGCTGCTTAGAGCTGTTGGTGCTGTTTAGAGCTGTTGGTGTATTGTTTGAGTTTCCTGACTGTATTGTTTGATAATTACCCTGTTAGGTTTAAAGTGAATTTTGTTCACTTTTGCCTGTTGTTTTCTAGGATCGAGGTTGAGCGGGACTCCCTTGCCTCGCTTGTACTGCTGCATTCATGCATTTTACTGATTTACTGTATATATGCTGTTGCTTTTCCTTTTATCCCCTAGGATCTCTGTTTCTCTTTGTGCAAGAGAGAAATATGACAGACATTAGGCTTTCATCCATGCATGACAACATTAGGGTAGATTTTGATTCCCTTTTCAACCATAGGCTTTTTAGAGCTTCCTTCCCTTCTCATCTCAGAATAATTCAAAAAACACAGTAATAAGGTTAATCAATGTCGTACGTTACGAGCCTTAAGCTATTTGAGAAAAGGTTGCTGGAGGGTCACTCTTCAGTAATCTGATTGCTTAGTGTGTTACCCTTAGGGTGACATACGACGTAGTCACTCTCAAATTATAGTCTCTAGTGCGTCAGAGATTGCAAACACACTAAAAAAATACTTCTTGCGTAAAAGACTGTAAACCAATCAAAGAGTCATTTTTGTCCGCTGGGACGCGTAATCAAGAGAAAACCTTTTTCAGAAGGATAAAAAAACAATCAAGACAAGCTTGTGTCTTCCGTGGCCCGAACTACGTTTGCTCTGATCTTTCATGTTGTATGAAAGTACGTAGGCATAGGATGCGATATCCTAGCGAGCAACCTTCCCCTCCTTTCCCGTAGGTAGGCGAACTACGTTGACTCTGATTTCTCGTTCCATACGGGAATACGTAGGCATAAAGCGCGATACTTTGCCTACGAAATCCTAGGATATGTGCTGAAGGGTGTTTCTATTTGAACCTATCTAGAAATGTGTTTCAACAATACTAAGAAGAAATAACTTAACAAAGGGGGGCAGAAATTATCCACTAAGTTTAAAAGAAAGAAGGACGAAGAATTATTAAGAGAAGAAGATATAAGAGTTTCTTTTGGGAGGGGAGGACTTAATCGAAATAGTAATGATGAACAAGAGGGAAAAATGTAACAAATAAATAAAAGTATTTGACAAAAGTAAAGAAACAAAATAACTTCATTGAAAAGATAAAGGATGGTGTGTTTACATCACGTACATTCTCTATAATACTCTTTTTCTCTACACTCGGATACTTGGAGTAATTTTAAGAGTGACTTGTACAACAGTAAATTACACACCCAAGTTCTATGTCTAAAACTCCTATTTATAATAATAATAGTAACTGCTAATAACCTTCCTAGGCCATCTATTCCTGACAAGTGTCAGATCACATGCAGTCCTTTATCCGATGAGAGCCACTTGTCCTACTTAGTTATAAGGAAATATAACTACTCCCTCCAAGATTCAAATTTCAAAATACTCACTTCGACCCTTCTTCTGAATCTCGGTCGAAGACCATCTCGCCTGCTTAGGTCGAAGTACTCAATTTCAAGACTTCAATTTCCTAAGTCCTTGGAAGACTTGTAGATCTTTTTAATATGCTGAAAATAGCCTCCAACATGAGTCGTCGAATTGGCAAGCTAACAGTGTGCCTATGTGTTTTTTTTTGTTCCTTGCTTATGTTGTGGTTCTATTTGACAACTGAAATTTGTGTGTTGCTCTCCATGAGCAGTTTTTTTTTGTAATGACCATTAACTTCTGTAATGTTCCTCATGTTGATCTGAACTATTAGTTTAGTTATGATCTAATTTGTGGCTAAAAAGGGGGAGAAATGGTAGTAGTAAGTGAGTAACAGCAGGTGGAAGACTTGTATGTTGTTGTTGTGCAGGTTTGCATGAGGTGATGATATGTTGCTGCTATTGTGTGAATTCATAGTAGGAATGTATGTTAGAACTGTGTGAGCTCCTAGCTACTGATTAGGAGAGTGTGTGTGTGTGTGTGTGTGTGTGTGTGTGTGTGTGTGTGTGTGTGTGTGTGTGTGTGTGTGTGTGTGTGTGTGTGTGTGTGTGTGTGTGTCTGTAGGGAGTTTGCAGAATGTGTGTGGTTGTGCATCTTTTCAGGGGGAGTAGCATAGGATGTTATGTTTCACATGTGATTATGTTCTTTATGATGTCATCCTGAATGTCCTGACATCCAGAATCCAGTCTAGATAAATCTGTGTGACTGCTGCGTGTGCAGGTTATGTGTGCACCGATGTGTTGTGCATCAGTTGAGGGAGAGTATCACTAGATGATCCACAGATCAGTGTGATGCCTGTAGTATGGACCAGCAGGTAGTTCTTAGGGTGTAAAGATGACTCTGATTTGATATTGTAGCTATGTATGTTTAGCTAGTATCTTTCCTACATGTATGGTATAATTTCTGCTGCTTGTAATCTTTGATATGGTAACAAAATGTTTTAGCCAAAAATTTGCCAAAGGGGGAGTTTGTAGATGCTTTTGATTGGCTGCATTTTATGGCAAAACATTGATGGATGTATGAATGTCATGACTGATGTTATGACATACATAATGAGGATTCAGCAGGGTAAGTTTAAATAGCTAAGAGTCACTTAAGTTGGATGTCATGTTGGATGTTATGACATCAAGCGTATGACATCAGGGCGCGCAGGTTTTAGTTTTCTGTTATTATCTCAGGCTATACTTCAGGAAACATTTTAGGAAGCCTAGTTATCTTAGGCGACATAACAGACACTGCTAAGGATAACCTGGAATTCCCCTGACTCAATTGGATGTGCGCAGCTTCATGAAGAGAGGTTTATCTTGGGTAAACCTAACTTATGTACGAAGGCCCAAGGACTGTGATCTGCCTATATATACAGAAGGAGCAATCCTAATTGAAGACAGTTCTTGATAGGGGTTCAGAGAACGTGTGTTTTGTGAGTGAAGAAGTCTGATTGTATCAGTTGTTCTTCACGTGTGTATTGTGTCTTAGGATACTTGTATGCCAAGCAATTGTCTGCTGCATGATTGCTTTGGTTTAGTGTTTGTGAACTGTTTGTTCAGTGTGCCACTCTATACTTTTAAGCAAGAGAGTTATGTCACTTGATCAAAGTTGTGAAGCAAGATCAAGGTGTGTTTGAAGTGTGACTTCATTGCCTTTTGTAACTTTGAATTGGTTAATATCACTGCTGTGATTGAGGGGGAGTGAGTGGGAAACTCTGGTCTAGTATTAGGCTGAAGTGTCATTGGGTAGGTCTTAAGTGAAGAGTGTAAACTGGTTGTTTGACTCTGAATTAATTCTACTAATAGTGAATTTCCTCCGTGGCTTGGTAGCCCCCAGATGTAGGTGTGGTTGGCACTGAACTGGGTAAACAATTACTTGTGTTATTTACTGTTTTCCGTTTACTGCTTAAGTCCAGTAGTCTGTGTTAGAGTGGATGTCATAACATCTGTGATAACATCCACTATGTGGTTGCCAGAATTTCACACCGAACAGAAGGTTTTAAGACATAGAAATCAAGCATAGAGCTCCCCTTATAAGAACCTAGTCCAAGCAGGAAACCGAGGCAGAGTCTTTAGATATTAGAGTGAATTATATCATGTCATTTGTCAACATAGACAGTAGTGATTGTAGTTAAAGGACAAGGGCCAACAGAAACCCTAATAAGACCTATATAAAAGGACCACAAGTGTAAAATTAAGGTACACATCAAAATTCCTTACAATTTTATACCTCTAATATCTTACTGTCACTGATTTGAGCGTCGAAATGTGTGTAAGTACATCCTCTCTTCAAATCAGCTGAACAACTGGGAAGAGACCGATCTTCAGACAGACAACAACTAGAACCTAACCATCTTCGAGAAGAAGTTTCCTTGTTGCAAGGAACATAGAGATTATTTCAAATGTACCTTTTATTTCTTTGCAATAAATAAAAAGCAACAACCATGAACATCAGACGAGTAAAATCAGCACTAGGAGAGCAAGCAGGCGGTAAAGACAACAGAAACCTATCCTTATAATTACAATCAATGAGAAAATATATTCACAACACATTACAGTTTCAACCTAAAGCATTAAATTCTTCAAGTTTAGGAAAGTGATCTGTAGAAGAATTTCAGTATGAGATGCAAGGGAGAGCTGAACAAGCGAGAACAAATAACAATGGTGATATAATGGAAAAGAACGACAATGGCGCTTGACACTAGAGTGAACAATGAGAATAAACAAAACTACAGACAACAAATCTACATGGCCTTTCATTGTTCCTAACAGTTTCCTTAACACCTTCACAAACCCTTTTCTTCATATCAGATTTAAACACACTTCACTTGAAATAGTTACTGTGTTGTTCATAAATCTGCACCTTTTGGACCAAAAGTTGCAACAGCATCACCTACTGTTAGAAATATTTTATCTTCTCCAATTAAGCCTGATAACGCCGATGCATGAAGCTTCTCTATTACAATTGTTCCCGGGTTCGCCAATAGAAGCTGTCAAAAAGATCACAAACATAAATGTATTTCTTGGCACACAAGCAATCCATTCAACTTTACAAATTATTTTGAATTTTGTACCTGAATATCTCTTTTCTCGAGGCTCTTGATTAAATCTTCAAAGGCATGAATGCCACTAGTATCAATATCAGTAACAGCTACAATAATATGGCTGCTTAATTAGTATATTCAATTATCTAAATCAATCATGAAAAAAGGATTTCATTAAAAGCCTTACGCGACATTTCAACGATGAGATACTGTATACTACGAAATTCACTCGATGTTCTTTGAATCTCTTCATCCGCGAGCCACTTCAATATTCTGTCCTTGATGTAGTTGGAGTTTGAGAAATAGATTGCGGAATCAACCCTGACGATGAGCATGCCGGGAATCTGAGATGCTTTGGGATATTGCAGGATGTTTCTATAAATAGTTGTCCCTGGAAGCTTCCCAAGTATCGCGGTCCTTGGCCTCGTCACTTGTAAAAGTATTTTCGCAAAAGATATTGCCACCTGCGTAAACAAAAATGGTTTTAAATCGCAGTTGCAATAACATCGTGATACTCAATATCTAAAAGTATTTGATATTTTGATTACTGCGATTAGAAGGCCAATCTCTACACTTTGAAAGATGACACCGAAGAAGGCTCCCATGCAAGCTAGAAAGTCGAATTTGTCGATCTTCCAAAGAAGAATAACTGCCTTAATATCGATAAGGCTCATCACAGCGGCTATGATAATTGATGCAAGCACTGCATTCGGAGTGTACTTGAATAGCGGCGTAATCACCAACAGAGTTAACAACAACACTATGGACATAACTATGTTTGATACAGCAGTTTTACAACCAGCCATATAGTTCACAGCCGACCGCGAAAATGATCCTGCAAAAGTATCAAAAACAAAAACTCATTAAGATGATTTACAAGTTCTCAATAGAAGCTAAAACATGATTCATTGAACTAGTCCTCTTTTTTGTACCGGTAGCCACATAACAAGATGTCATCGAACCGATTACGTTCATTGTTCCCAATGCCACCATTTCTCGGTTGCCATCTATCGAATAGTCTTTCATAGCAGCAAATGTTCTTCCAATGGCCACAGCTTCCTATAAACATTTAACAAAATTGTCTCAAATGTCACATAAATCCCTGTTAATGAAACAAAACAGAAGAAGAAAACTCGGTGAATGTTTCTTACCGTGAGCGCTACCATGCCGGATATCACACCAATCCTAACACCAGCACTTAAATATTTTCCACTGAAATATATCTCATAAACAGATGATGGATTCACACCCTGTCTTATATGTTTTACCTGAAAATAGCATAGTTTTAAGTCTTAATGCTTCGTTTTGTTCGAAACTATTCAAGACATTTTAAACAAAAAGCTACTTACAATTGCTACTCCTTGTTTATCTGCCCTTGTAATGTAAACACAAAAAGTAGAAACAATAACACATATCATAGGAGAAATTGCAGCCACCCAAAAGAGATTCTTTTTCTTCTTAGCCTATTCATTACAACATAATCATAGTCATATATAAAGGTTCAATAAATTGAAATGAAGAGAGGAAGAGAAATTGTTGGCATTCTTACAATATACTTTGTTGTAAGAAGGAAAGCCAAGAATGATACTCCCATTACTATTGTCTCCCAATTCCACTGTATCCAAAGATTAAAACAACTTAGTTAAGTGCTTGCGTAATAAGTTATCATAAGTTGTTTTCGTAAGCTTCAACTTGAAAAGAAAAGGAAAGCTTACGCCGTGGTGGGCTGCACTAAAAACCGATCTCATGACAGAAACAATATCAGTTTTCTTAGTGAATTGTTTTATGCCAAGAAGACCTTTAAGCTGTTGGAGTGCAATAGTAATGGCAGCTCCACCCATGAATCCAACAATGGCAGCATGAGATAGGAAATCAATCAAGAAACCGAGCCTGTGAAATTCACCTCAAATGAAGTCAACATCAATCAAGAAACAACACAAGACAAGAATCATTTTACTACCAATCCAATAATAGTACCTTAAAAGTCCAAGTGCCATTTGAGTAATTCCTGCAAAGAAAGTCGCGGTAAATACAAGACGAAGATATTCATGACTTTTGAAGTTAGGGATTTCATCTGTCAGCAAGGTGCCAAGCAAGAGAGACACCACAGCTACTGGTCCTATAGCAATATCTCTTGAACTTCCCATGAAAGCATACACAAGAGGAGCAACAAAACTTGTATCTACAACAAACCAAGTCGTCGTCGTCATCATCATATAACCAAACTATTAAGTCTAAATTACTTATAGAATAAACAAAGATTCTTACATAGTCCATACTGTGGTTCCAAATTTGCAAGATTTGCATATGCAATATCCTGATGTTTATTCACATTTACACAAACATCTAATCAGATTTCATCCGAGTATCCTATTGTGTCGTGTCATAATATTATTTCTCGAAATATCTATATACCTGAGGAATGCACAGACTTGCAATGGTGAGTCCAGCAATCAAATCACCCTTGAAACTCTTAAGATTGTAATCTCTTCCCCACTCGAAAATCGGGAAAACAGATTCTAGTCCAAGAACAAACCTTCTTGATCCTGTTTGGTTCTTAAACTTGCCAAAAGGGTCATCTGAGAAGAAAGTTTCATTGAAATTATGTTTGATATCTTGGAAAAGTGATTGCTTAGGAGGAGATGAAACTTTGTGAATATGTTGTGGAAGAATACTATCATTGTTACTTTTTATTTCCTCCATTGTCTTTGCCACAGCTTCATCACTAAGAACCTCACTCATATTAATCAATAGCTTTGCAATGAAAAATCAACCATAGACTAATAATTCAGAAACAGAAATGTAGCTTTTGGAATTTAGCATGGAAGTCTATTTTTTTCTTAAAAGTCTTCATGTTAGAAAAGTATAGGTAGATGCATTGTAACATTTAGTTATGTGAAGTTTAGCTTAAAGTTAAAAGAATAATATTGGAATCTCCGGTTAATTTGGATAAAGAATATTATTGAATCTTAGAGAGACATTGTGAAAGACCCTAACCAAGTGATGTCACAAGAGAGGACATTACCCTTGCACTTGTTTAAGTCACCTGGTGGATTTAAAGAGGCAATAAATCAATGGTTAGTATTATATGGAATGAAAATTATAAGATTGTGAAAAATGAAAAATATGAATTAAGGTTTAATATAGATAACATGAGTAGTGTAGATAATTGTTAACCCAGTTTACTATAATGTTACCTACGTTTGAAGAACATTATATGTCCTTCAAACGAAAAGAAATTCACTAACTCAATAGTTAATAATATATTATAGTCACATTTGAACTCTCATACTTTAGTGTCTTTTTCCTAATACTATCCGTAAGTTTTGACATAGATTCTCCCTAAATCTGAGACATCTCACTTTCAATTAAATACTCTCACAAATGTTTGCAAGAAAACAATCATATGTGACGTGATTCAAATCACAATTACCAATCAAATACCTTATCCAATTTTATCCTATCAAGATAAAATAACTTCTAATCTTTCTTTGGTCCATGTTCATTATTGTACACACTAGGAGAATTTGTTTCACAATCTGCACTTGAACCATCTGAAACCTACTGAAAACAAAATAAGACAACTTAAAACATTTGCTCATGAAACAAATCGGCCTATAGAAGTTTCATTTTAGTATAGGTCGACACATAACTTTTCAGGTCGACACCCATGCATCAATATTAAAGGTTGTAGCCTCTGCCTGATGTGCTGACCAACATAGATTGACACATGGTCGACGTAAGACATTGACAGGTTGGCGTAAGACCTTATCAAGTTGGCTCATACGTTGTGATAGGCCGACCTATGACTTACATAGGTCGACACACATGATGCATCCTTCAAAAATCTTATTTTTTTCATCCATCCATTTGCATTTTCTTTTGCTTTATACCTCTCATGCATATGAATGCTCATGCATGCATCATATTCTAGTAAGGTACTAGTGTAAAACCTAAATAAAACCATAATTACAAAGTCAACCCATTATCTTTACCTTCTCTTTTTGTATGCATACACACAATCAAACTACACATAATCATTTTTTGATTGGGTGACCATCTAGATTATGGTTGATAATGTCCAATTAGGTTTGTGTAACCGAGAATATTGTGTTGGGTTCTTTGTGTGTTTCAAATAAGAAAACCAAGTTGGGGTTTTCCTTCAAGATCAGTGGGATTTGAAGGTTTTGGACAAGATCACGCAAACACGGATTCAATCGAGTGAAGAGGCCTTGGTACTTGGTGGGGACAACCTTGCAAAGGAGTATCATGAAACAGTTAATTGTGTTCGTGAATCTTGGGCTCAACAAGTGTGTGTTAGGGATTAATCTGATCGAGCCAAAACCTTGAAGATGAGGAGGGCTTGCAAGCTATTAACAAGAAACGGTGGATTGTAGCAACAATGTTGGTTACTTGATCAATCTTTGATCAAGGGTTTTGGAGGTGGTAGAATCAAAAACAAACCATAGGGTTTGTGGTGTTAGAGTTCTTCATCTGTTGTATACACATTATTTTGCAAAGTAAGGTTATATTGCAACTATCTCAATTCGAGTTTGAATTGAGGGCAGACGTACCCATAGCGAGGCCGATTGAGGAACTGCCTAAACAAATCCTTATCTCTCTCTATATATATAGACACAGGCGCGCGCGCACCCCCCCCCCCCCCCCCCCCAACACACACACACACATATATATATTAATTGTTTTACTTACAAATTATCGAATCTTTATTGTTTGGATCAATTCGTTTGAAAATCAAATTTTTTTATTATGTTTTGTGTAACACCATGTTTTATTTCAATTATTTTTCGTAATTAAAATTATGTGATATGGTGTATGTATATGCGATTATGTGTGTTTTGTTGTATTTGGGGATATCCTTGGTGTGGAATAGTGACCTTAAGACTAGACCCTGGGGAAATAGTTGGGAGTGTATGACCAATAGTGTAGAATTTAGTTGTGTGGTTAGTAACTAATTAGTAATATTAGTTAGTAATTATTTATTTGAATAATATTATGTGAATATTATTTAAATTAAATAATTAGTTTTATTACTATTATTTATTTGGAAGATAATAATAATAATAATAGTAATATAATATTATAAGGAGGATTTGAGAAGAGAGTCTGTCAGTACATGTTTTGGAGGAAAAGAGAAGGAGGAGAGTTAGGGCAAGGGGGAAGAGAAGAATCATTGTTGAGGTAGAAGAATCCTTGTGCAAGAACTCTAAGGTAAGGATGAGGTTCTAATTATCTAAGGGATTGCATATGGTGGGTAGATCATAACATGTAGAGTTTGTGTTTTCTTCTCTATTCATGTTCTTGATGAATGATTGATTGTGTGAATTATAAAATTGCTGTTGAATTTCATGATGTATGTTGATGTTGTTGCTATAATTGATGTTAGAATGATACATTGATACAATTGTTGTTGTTGAAATCATGAGATTTGTGATTTGTTTGATGTTGTGGATGTTAGGTCGTTGTGTGTGGTTGCGAGTCAGCGTCAGAGCTAAGTTATGGGTGTTTTCGATGAAAAATATTTGCGGTTTAAACCTTTTAAAAAAGTGATTATTTCGTGTTAAAACATAGGCTAAATGATTTGTAAGAAAAACAGAGCTTTGGGATGGCTTAAAGTGAATTTCGTTTTGAAAAACTTGCAGAAAAGTGCATTGGGTGATGTAACTGGTTACATGGTTGAGGTAACCGGTTACGTCTAAGAAAAATTGGGTATTTATGCTTCAGGGACTGATGTAAACAGTTACATGGCTGATGTAACCAGTTACATGGCTGATGTAACCCGTTACATCATTGTGTCCAGAATTTATTTTGTAAAAACTTCAAAATTTTATAACTTTAGTTCCGGGTGTCCGACTGACGCACCGTTTGAAGCGTTGTAAAGCTGGTGTAATGTACTTTAACTTAAAATTATTTTCAGTACTAGAATTCAAATTATTTTATGTGTGGGCACGTATTTGATGCATAGTGAGTTTATGTTGTTTTGTGAAACATGTGCAAATGCATTGTTATTGCTTGCTATATTGTTGTGTTGTTGTTGCTGCATGTTTTGGCAGGTGTTTGGTGCATGGTGGCCAGTAGTGGTGAAAGGTACATTGACTATAGGTAAGGTCTTTGTGCGTGTTGTTTTGTTGTATGCATAATATGTTACATGCATTCATGGTGTTGGAGGGTGGTCTGTGAGCCTCAACCCTAGGATGATGGATTGGTGTGAGTAGTTAATTCTATGGTGATGGAATTAGTGAAGTGTTACCTATGGTTATGGTAACGAGTTTTAAGGCCTCAATCTCATTGTGTGGATTGGGTTTTAGGTGAGCCTCGATCTTAATTTGTGATTTATTCATCCCCCCTATAGATTGAAGCCTATTCTATAACAGGTGTTTGAATCTATAACACACAGACATGTGTATGATCAGTTGAGAAGAAAACTTGATAACAAGTCAAGCCAGATAATCCTGATAGGATATCACTCAACTGGTGGATACAAATTGTTCGACCCGGTGAGAAAGAAAGTTGTGATCAGTAGGGGTGGGATCATAGAGAGCTTAAGGAATGGGACTAGACTGAAAACATCAAGAAGGATTTAGTAAGAATCTTATATGATGAACCAACTAGATAAGTTGATAGAGAAGTTTGACAAGAAGAAGTCAGAGGTAAAATAAGCACAAGCAGACCTCAAAGAACAAGAAACATGTCTGCAAGGTTACAGGAATGTGTGATTAAATCATATAATGTGGTCGATGATGAAGTTGAACTTGTTCACTATGCTTTCTATGCAGATACTGAGCCAATCAATGTAACTGGGACACTGAAGGACTCGAAGTGGGTGCAATCCATGATAGAGAATCTGAAGTCCATAGATGTAAGCAAAACCTGGATACTAGTCGAGTTGCCACGAGTAAAGAAGGAAATTGATATGAAATCGGTTTACAAAGTGAAGCTGGACCTAAAAAAAGAAGTAACCAAACACAAGGCAAGACTTGTAGCAAAGGGATTTCTTCATAAAGAAGGAACTGATTATGATGAAGTTTTTGCACCAGTTGCTAAAATCAAAATAATCAGGTTGGTTGTTGGTCTAGCAAACATAAATAACTGGTATATGTGTCAGATAGATGTGAAATGTGAATCCCTGAATGTCTCTCTAGCTGAAGAGGTTTGTGTAACATAATCAATTGGTTTTGTGAAGCAAGGACAAGAAGGAAAAGTGTACAGACTGCATAAAGTTCTGTATGGACTCAAGCAAGCTCCAAGAGCTTGGAAGAAATTCCTTTTTTCCCAAAACCTAACTCTCTCTCTCTCTCTCTCTCTCTCTCTCTCTCTCTCAGAAAAGTGTACAGATTGCATAAAGTTCTGTATGGACTCAAGCAAGCTCCAAGAGCTTGGAAGAAATTCCTTTTCTCCCAAAACCTAACTCTCTCTCTCTCTCTCTCTCTCTCTCTCTCTCTCTCTCTCTCTCTCTCTCTCTCTCTCTCTCTCTCTCTCTCTCTCTCTCTCTCTCTCTCTCTCTCTCTCTCTCTCTCTCTCTCTCAATCCTTCCTTTTAAAAAATTTGTGCGACAGAATCATTTTTCAACCAATGTATGGTTGAATAACTCAAATCATGAGTGAAGAACGAGATGCACAATCAATCAAAAAGATTTATTCTTATTCATTAAGATTTATTCGAATTATCTTCATGATTAGAATTTAATTCCAACGTTACGTCCCGCAATAACTAGTTATATC